TACAAAGTCTGAAATTTCCTAATATTCCTTTCAGATGTCAGCGATTTTGAACAATCATAAAGACTCTGTAAAATTGAATATAAAGCTTCCTTTTTTGCTACGAGCATTTTGAATTGCCTTTCTGCCGTAGTGCCCATTTTGAAAATTAACCTTAAACAATAAGAAACTTGATATGCCTTATCTGAATTAAACTTCCGAAAATTTGAATGAAAACCCGAACACAACTTGGCAACAGCCTTTGTGGTTTTACCAAAACAAAAGAAAACAATAATATATATTGACATGCATATAAGCCGATTCGAAGATGTGAAAAAACTCAATTATTCTACTGCTGAATAAATAAATAAATAAATTTCTTAAAACTCCGCTGTTTTAAGCAATCCGACAACACCGAACAAAATCATACCAACCGGCTGAGCTAGTCGCTCTAGTTTTTGTGCTTGCTGCTGAACTTCGAAATAAAAAAAGTACTTCGCAAAAAAAGTTTCGAGGTTCTTAGAATGTGAATTTCACTGATATCTGGCGCGAAGGTCCAAATGTTCCTTCGAAAATTACACAACTGACTTGATATAAGTGGACTGTATGATTGTAAAGTACGACTCACCCGAAAATTATTGATCCTGTGTTGGTTTTCTTCTTCTTGCATCAATCACTAGGTTGAAAAATGAAGGATAGGTCAGGAAGAAAAAATAGGATTCAAATTTAGGAGGTGATTGTTCTTCTTTCTCTCTTTTTTTGTGCACTCGTATAAAATTAATCTAAAGCACTTTGATATTTGCCAACAGTTTAATCGATCTTCGAAAATCTATGCTTATCAAGAAAATACCGACCGCCGTTCAATTTTAATTTCTATTGACTGCCTAAATTTCAGCGGAGCGTTAACTCTTTCAAAAAACCAAAAGCGATGTTGCCAAACGTAAAAGGGAATTCAGCGTGAACATATACACACATCATTCTGAATATTCAACAGAAAACAATTACTTTCCTGGCTATTTGCCACGTCGAACATTGAATTATATCTGATGAACATTCAAAAGAGAACATGAAAAATAAAGAATAAAATCCTCCGAAATTGGTAAGTCATATTTCTATATCATTATTCATCATATTATTCAACCGATTTGAAGAAGAATGTCAATTCTCAATTTCGGAGGATTTTATTCTTTATTTTTCATGTTCCCTTTTGAATGTTCATCAGATATAATTCAATGTTCGACGTGGCAAATAGCCAGGAAAGTAGTTGTTTTCTGTTGAATATTCAGAATGATGTGTGTATATACATTTTTTTGTCTGAAGGAGAATGCAAATTCTCAATTTCAGAAATTCTTATATTTTATTTTCAAACTCTTATCGTGTGTGTTCAATAGATATAATTCAATGTTCGTCGTGGCATATAGCCAGGAAAGTAGTTGTTTTCTATTGAATTACCTGAAAAAGAGTAAATATTCTCATCACATAGAGAATGCGAATTCTCAATGTATTGCTTTATATAAATATATATCCTTTTTTGTATGTTCATAATTCATCTGAGAATATTCCTTTTCAACTTACAATAAGAATCAATTCATTCTAGTCACATTTCAGATAGCTCAAAGAACTCGATATTAGAATCTCTGATTCCTTATTTATAATTTCGAGAACTTTAGTGAACATAATATCGACAACTGAAAGGTGAAGCCTTATGATCATAGTAGAGATCATAATGAAAAAATATAATATGACTTGTAGAAACAGTTAATTCAAGAATCACTATAGGTATTTATATGAGATTGCATGTTTGGAATAGTAATCAATGAAATCATTTAATCTTCCAGACCAGCTTTCCGCAGCTGAAAAATAAAGAACCAGCAGCCCAATTGAAAAATGAGGAGATAACACAATTATCCAGACTATGTAATAGATTTCATCTCACTTCTAGAACTCATGGAATGAACCAGGGCCTACAATGAACTCAATATGATGAGAAGTGTGGTTCTTTATATCTGATGGGAATGGTTTTTCTGCGAATTGAAGTCAATTGTTAATCATTAAGTACTCGATCAGTTTAATTTGGTACCTACTAATTACATAACTCTCATGATATTCGGTATGTACATATAGGAGATGAAGTCATTGACCAAGAGTTAGGAACTTCTTGGAACAAGTGAAAAAACAAATATTAATCATAATGAAATATATATCTGTCATTAGAAATTGTAGGTACCTTTTTAAAATTAGTATACAGATTGAGAGTGAGAAATTCGAGATAGGTATCTGATATTCACAGTTATTTTTTGTAATCCTGATGATAATATTCACACGAGAATATTATTATAAAATTGGATATTCAACTACTTCGGGTAAAAATTTAATTCGTCATTTATGTTGAATGACGTTGATGACCTGCATTAGTAATGCAAATGTGAGTGAAAATAAAATAGTTAGATTTCCAAATGGTGATATAAACAGTGTTTTTCATCAACAGTCCCTATTTTATTTTCACTCGGACATATGCATCACCCTGAAAATGTTTTGATATAGCTTGTTGAAAAATAGGAAATCAACAAACAGAGTTGATGATGTTCCGCAGTTTTTCAATTCAGTATATCATGAATATCGAATTCACTAAACCTCATTAGCTAACGGTCCTGAAAAACTCCTCTAGCTGGAATAAATATACTGAAGCAGCCAATTAATGGCAGTGTCTGAAAAGTCTCAAACTATCGATCAGAACATAAATACAGTACGTTCGAGTGCTTGCTTCTGCCCTCTAGGAGCCCTGCAATGTAATGAGATGCATACTGATGGCTTTAGAAATCCAGATAGACGGTCGGCCAACAGGACGTTAAGTCGAATGCAATGAGAGATTACACTATCCAACCGCGACATGTTCTTTGCATCTGACTGTACCGGCAAGTTTCAGTGTACCTTCACTTGCTCAGAAGAGGATTCTGATAGGAGACCTCTCCTCCAGAAATGACGGCTCAAATTCGACTTTTTTCCTTCACTTCGGAAGATAATTTTGAATTAGCGAATACAGACACATAGAGGGGGCTCTCCTTACAAACGGTCCGATATTTCTGAATTTGATATGTTATCCAGGATGGTTATTGAGTGTTCAAATTGCAGAATGCACATTTTCCTTTCCTCCGCGCCCTTCGCCATATTGAAAAAAAACAAACAAGAAATCAGCACTTCCTCCAGATTTTCGCTTATATCTTCGTTTTGGTGCATTTGAGCAACAAATGAGTGTCATTCAATGTTGTAGAGGATTAAATTTCCTATAATTTTTGTATTGAATTTTGTTTCTAGGACTGATAGTTACGGAGATATGATTTTTTTTATGAAATAAAAAAAACGCATGTTCCGGAATTTTGTCAAGTACGTTCAGCGACACTATGGCACCAATGTGATGGTGATTTTTGATGGGTACACTACAGATCCTTCTCAGCAACGGACCGAGATTGCTGAACGAGCAAGAAGGTACAAGGCAAACTCATCATCAAACGTGGTGTTTGACAAAACCACTGTCAATACCGTACCTCAGGATAAATTCCTGGCCAATTAGGGGAACAAGGACCGATTTGTGAAGCTGCTCTGCAATGAAATGCAAGCGTCAAATACAGTCACAGACCAAGCTTCCGAAGATGCTGACAGGTTGATAGTTGCCATAGCTAAATGTCTGTCCCCCACTACGACGACGTCATTATTATCGGAGAAGACATTGACCCACTCGTCCTAGTGACTGGCACAACACCTGCGGTGAACAATGTCTACCTCGAAAAACCAGCGAGAGAGAAACATCCAGACGCAATCTACTCCGCCTCCTCCTACAAGTACAACTACAAAGGCTGTATCTTGCTCCTGCACGCAATTTCGGGCTGCGACACCACATCTAAATTTCCTGGGTTCGGAAAGAATAAATTCTGCCAATTTTTCAGGAGAGACTCATCAAGCAGAGGGGTTCGAGGACCCTGCTGTCGGTCTCCAAGAAATTCCAGTAGCAGTGGAGAGAATCTTGATAGCAGTAAAGAACAATCGTTGAGCTTCCTTCGCTATAGCAGATTGAAAACGAGTACCCTCAAACTCAATCTGGCTGAACTACCTCTGACCACTGACTCCACACATCTACACTTACTGAGGACATACCTCCAGGTCATTGAGTGAATGGGTAGGTAGGTAATCAATTGAAATAGTACCTGCATATTAAGCATCGCGCTGTGTCATGTAAAAATTCAAAGTAGAATTAGTATAAACTCCAAATTCAAGATTGAACTGTAAAATGGTTAGTGAATATTTTTAGATACAATGTGGAGTCACAATAGCCAAATAAACAATATGCCGTTGTTTCAACTTTCATTTTCACGTTCCATTACGTAGGGTGGGTGAAAAAGATTGTACATGCATTTCTTCAGGTAAATAAATTCCCTACAAATCTCCTTTCGATATTTGTTTTCCTAGAATAGGCCATAAGTGAACTACAGCGTTTCAAAGTGAGAAGTTTGACAAATTTCCGGAAAATGCAATTTTTTACAATTCTTTAAAAGGTGCATATCTCCGTAACTATCAGTCCTAGGATCAAAATTCAAAACGTGAAATACCGGAAATTCAATCCTCTACAATACTTAAGTTCCTATTTTTTTCGGTTTTCTCAATATTTCAGTGGGCGCGGAGGAGGGGGATTTGTGCATTTCACATTTCAAACACTCGATAACAATCCTAGATAACATATCAAAAATTCAGATTTACTGGATCGTTTGTAAGGTGAACCCCCTCTATTCACTGGATTATCCTGTTTCCCTCCGAAAGACGTTCCTGGGCACAGTCTCATTGTACCTTCATCGAAGAACCGCAAACATGATGTCGCTGTTTGACTTGTGATGTTTGTTACTGAATTTGTGATGATAATGAGTTGTTAGTATTGACTACATAGTATGATCGTGTGCGCATTATTATCAGTTTCTATCAACTTCTGACTTGAAATCAAGCTTGACTATCATTATGCTAATTCATATACTCACCATGACAGAATGCAACGCATTCGCGGCCAGATGCCATAAAGTATTCTGCGTTCTCTGCAACAGATTCATGTTGTCTGTCACCGACATAGCCAAAAATGGGGTGATGGAGTATGGCGTAGGGTTTCCTGCCAGAGATAGGGATCCCACATAAAAACCGACGGTGTTGATGTACATAAAAGGAGCATCGAAGTGATGCACCAGTCCGAGCGCACATTCCGGGTAAGCGCCATCTAGGATGAGCAGGTCGAATTTGTGGCGTTGATAGAGGAAGTCTTTCGTTTCCATGTCGGAAAGCAACACTTCACAGGCCTGAAAAATTGTTAATGAGGGTGATTTCCATAAGCGTTCACTGAAATTAACAGCAACGGTATAGAGGACACGAAAAAAAAACAAATACTTTCCTGGCTCATGCCAAGCAGATGATTGAATAAAATTCTCCTAAAATATATATACACTGTGTCCATAAAGTTACCCCCCCCTGGTTAACTTTAGAACGGATAGTTACATTGCTACACATTGTTCCAAAAAAAAAAAACATGTATCCTCCAAAATGGCGCTTGGGCGCCATTTTGGAAGATTTTTTAAATGGAGTGGGCAGTCGAAAGATACCTCGATTGAAAGGTCTTTCGATTCTCTATACAACCTCAGAATATCAGACGAAAATATTCATCCAAAACAAAATGGCGGATGATAACGTTTGAAATCTCACACCAGAATTCTTTCGACTAGATGGCTATTAAAGTGCTCGCATGTGATCTTCAAATCTCTATTGGCGTATAGAAGAGTTCTCTATCTATGAAGATATCAATAGAAAGCCATTTTGAAGAGAATAACATGGTAGTCACGTGGAATAAACATTGTTTTTTATTTTGAATAAATATTTCTAAAATTTTGCAGAATTTGGAAAGGCAATCGAGCAGAGGTAATAATTGACTACCATGTTATTCTCTTCAAAATGGCTTCCTATTGATATCTTCATAGATAGAGAACTCTTCTATACGCCAATAGAGATTTGAAGATCACATGCGAGCACTTTAATAGCCATCTAGTCGAAAGAATTCTGGTGTGAGATTTCAAACGTTATCATCCGCCATTTTGTTTTGGATGAATATTTTCGTCTGAGATGCTGAGGTTGTATAGAGAATCAAAAGACCTTAGAATACATATTTGTTTTTTAGAACAATATGTAGCACTGAAACTACCATTGAAGCAAAAAAAAATTGAAAAAAAATCCCATCCGTTCAATAGTTAACCAGGGGGGGGGTGACTTTATGGACACAGTGTATAACGATTTGTTACCACTTCTACCTGTGCTTCTACTGATTGCAGGTTCCTCTTTCCTTATTGCCAAGTTTTCCATTCAAGATGAATTCTTTGCTGTTCTAGAACTTAGGATTGGGACAATTTCCTTTCTTCATACCACAAAAAGAATGAGTTGAGGAGTCAGTGAAATATATAGATGGATTATAATGATCTACCTTCTATTCTCCTAATTGATTCAAGTCCCTATTGTATAATCTGCTAGTGAAATGTATTGAAGCTCCTGAATACCTATATTCCGGTACTTCACAGAAGTAGTTTTTTTTTCTCTCGGAACGCATGGAAGAGTGTACCTCAATGTTCAAAGAATATCGTGCGTATACCTAGGAGTATTTAGGGAGAGGAGTTGGGTATTGGAGTATTGATAACTTCAGAAACTCAAGTTCTTGGAAATTCTCACTTTGACAAAAGCTTGGTCGTTTTAAAGACTGACAAGATTTGATGAGTTGTTCGACACAAAAAGTAGTCGATGAACTTATATCAGTATATGATCAACCTTATTCCCAAGTAGCCAGACTGACGAATGTGACGTCTATAGGACCGCTATCTAAGGTCTTTTTTGGTCTCATACGTCTTTTGACCAAATTATGACGTCATGCAGACGTCATTAATTTGACGTCTTATGGACAGCCACTATTTGACGTCGTATAGACGTCAATCTAAGGTCTTCATATTTTTTTGGGTATTATTATCATTATCATTATTATTATTACTATTATTATTATGTAAATGTATGCTTTCCTAACCCTAAGTTTCGACTTATTGGGCGTTGGATCCAGTGCTGGGTCCAACGAGGAAATGCAATTGAAAAAAAAAAAATATTATTATTATCATTATTATTATTATTGTTATTATTATTATTATGTATGTATAGGAAAACGAAGTTATCAAATGAATCAATTAATCTATCCAAATAACTGTATAATAAAAATGGATTTTATTCCATAGGCTTCCCTTGATTTTCAATGTTTAAATTCAGCGCCAAAGACAATTCTCACATTACCGACCAGATGGCCAATGGCGATCAAGTAATTACGCGAAGAGATTGTGTATGCGACTCGCGACCATCTCGCGACTGCCGTTAGTGGCGTTACTGCCGTTCAGCTGCGTTCCGGTTCATGTTCATTGTCCATATCGTCCATGTCCGAATGGGTGTTGTTTGTGAACAGCGTCTGTGCCATTGGATTTGTTAAGAATGTTAAAATGTTGAGTGTTTGAGTGGTATTTCTATACAGTCTGTTGTTCACGTGAAAGTATTCAGGATTTATTGTGTGATACAATTTGATGACGGTGGAAGCAACAGTGTAGCTGTTGTTCACGAAACTTGGCTGACGCCGTTGAAAAAGGAAGTGTTTTGGCCGCCATTTATAGACAGCAAAACATACAAAAGAGCACTCTGGTGAAGGGGCAGCCATCGACGCTGAAATTTTCAACTATATGTAATACCTCACATTACTATCTTGCAAATAAAATCTTCATTCGTAGCAAATTTATTTTATAGCACAAATGATTACCTTCCTCACTAGATTATAACCATTAACTCTAAAAATTTTTATTAAAAAACAGACGTCTTATTGACATCGGAAATTGGTCAGTAGTGTCAGTTTAAGGTCCAATTTGAAAACACATACTGACGTCTAAAAGACTTCCAATTATGACGTCATTTGGATGTGTCTTACTTACGTCATTTGGACGTCGCATTTGTTAAAATAAAGACGTCTTTTGGCCGAATGTAATGCCATCAATTAGACGTCATATAGTCGTCATGTGCTACCTGGGTTATTGTCTCAAAAGATGAATTCGGTGGATCATTCATTTTTTGCAGCATGTCAGCAAGATATTTCCTTAAGATTCGTCCAACCAACATTTCAACAATAATTTCCAGTTTCCTATCGAGAATGTGATTTTTTCCAGGATTGAGCCAGAAATAACGTTTTACCTGACTAGACCAAAAAAAATTACTTCCATATTATGACAATCTATGTCGATAAGAACAAGAATAAGAATGTTCCCAATATTGTTTCACAAACATCTTGTCACGCGATCATTATGCAGTCATGCAGATTGCCATGAAATGTTCATTAGTACTCGTAGACTACTAATTATATACAGTTCAACCTCATAAAATCTTGTCTGGTCGTCCAAAAATAGTTTTCCAACCAATATTGATAGAAGCAATGATTGATGATCACGATATCACATTATGTAATACGGGTTGGATGAATAAATCTTCTGACGACTATACAGATATGGGCATATGTGTGGAAACGCCTAATGTGATTTTTTTTGTTCAGAAGTTTTTCTGTTCTTATTTTTTCTACACAAATGCCTGTTTTGATTTTTAATAGCTATCATACTCTTTATGTACAGTGTGTCCAGTTTTCGATGCTTTTGCGTGATATCTCAGTTATCTTTCGAGATAGAACCTTCCCTAACAACACAGGGATGTCCTAGGTGCGTCCCTTTTTTGTCCCGCGGTACAAGGAAATGATTGGGACATCCAGGGGATGTCCCGCCAGTAGTTGTCCAGTGGACATCCCACCCGGTACATCCCTAGGTTATCCCATTCGTGTCCCTGGAATATCTGATATCCATTCTTCACATCAGAAAGTCATTCAATATCATCAAAATATTGAGTCGAATTTTTTCGAAAATGTATTTCTTCCGGAAAATAATTGTGATGAAAATAAAGAATATAGTCTCAAAACTTCTCAAGAAATGACCATTTTTCGCAAACAGAGATCGTAAATGCATAATGCCCCTCATTTTCAAACACCCAAGAATGATAATAATTATACCCGAATCCTAACAGTTTTATTTATCCAGGTTTCTGTAGTTGTCCTGTTCATAAATCTGTTCAATACATGAATATTCAGATGGCATATTGGCCAATGGAGTAAGGTGCGTGCCTGATAAGCTGAAGGTCCCGGGTTCAATCCCAACTAGACCTACTTTTTTTTTTCTTTTGTCGAAGGGATGTCCCTGGGATATCCTTGGGACGTCCTAGGGATATCCCTTCTTTGTACTCGGTACATCCCAGGGACGTACTAGGAGGGACATCCCTTGGATGTCCTTTTTGTCTGAAAGCGGATGTCCCTGGGACGTCCCTAGTATGTACTTTGTCCCAGAAAAGATATCCCTGGAATGTCCTTATTTGAAATTAGGGACGTCCCTGGGAAGTCCCTAGGATGTACTCGTGTTGTTAGGGTTGCGGTTTTCGCGGTCCTGTACCACTTTTTTGTGAAACTCAAGATGGCCTAATCAGATTTTGCATAACTGTTTGCGTTTATGAGATACAGGGCGATTTTGAAAATTTATACTTTTTGGACCCCCTCTATATCTACGAAGTTTCTCAGCGAAAATGTCAAATTGGAATCTTATCCCATACAGAATTTTGCGCAGAATTCAGTGGCGCACTCAATTTTTTTTTCTGGGTATGGTTTCGGAGATACGACTCAAACTTATGATTTTTTAAATGGAACACCCTGTATTTTATTAGCTCATTAAATTCCTTATTTTTTCACCATTGAAATGAAATATGATGAATAGGTATAATTTTTTCAAAAATGCTCGAAAATCACTAAAACATTGAATTTTAATAATGGACTATGGATTTTTCATTTGAAGAAGTTTCAATTGAAGGGATATTTCATTCGATTCTTCCATGAAAAGGACAGAAACAATCCCAACACTAGTTAATTGAGATTACACAAAAATTAGGTACCTGATAACAACAAATGAATGGTAATAAAAAGTTCATATTCTAGAATAAGCACCTGATTTAATATTCACTAAGACAATTGAATAGTAACTTATTCATTGAATTGTTCAAATTGATGTTCACTTTCCCTCACACGCTTTCTCAATACGTCTCAATGCATTCAAAACCATTACAGGATGTCTTTGTAATTCCTGGATAACTGCCTCTGTTGTTGCACGAAGTTCTTCAAGATATTTGTGACTCTTACTGTATCAAGACGTATTGAGAA